TAATAGTTTTGTAAACATTTATGGCCAAAGACTTCTGTAAAAGCTATGTCCTTTTATAACACGATTCCGAAATTGAAACGTTATTGCAAAGCCTTTGCAACAGCCTTCAGTATGTATTTCAGGTATGAAAGCAAAGCCGCTTACAACAGGTATTATAGCAATTTGATGAACCTTAAATGCAGTTTAAGTTTTATTTATATAAGTTATTATGTAAACAATCTAACCGTTTTATTAATTCTGTATATGTGCTATCCTCTTTCAAGGATTTAAGTTATTTGATATTAATTATATAATTCAGTTCAATAAATTCACACTTAAAGTTACTCAGAAATTTTTCCTTTTGGTTTTTTTTCGAAAACGCCACGTCTGTTGTTACCGAGAAAACATTGCTGAAGTCGCTTGTACAAGATCTATTGAATGTGTTTTCCCTCAAATATATAAAAATGTTTTTCACTAGTATTCATGTATTGCGTGTCTTATAAACAATACAGCTTGGCCGAATTCGTTGAACTCATCAGATTCGTGTTCTTCATTCTTTGTCATTTTGTTATTAAATTTATTCGATATGCAATTTGTGATGCATTAATTACAAACTCTGTTCACGATTAACTAGTGAACTACATAATTTATGCCTACAAAAATGTCAGCAAAATGTTTTCAAAGATAATGCATTTTTCTCTGGTAAAGATAATTCAAGCTATCCCTAGAAATACTAACAACCAGCTCATATTACTTTTGCTCACGAACAAAGTGAATGGGACAGTGTTATTGCATTTCACACTAAAAGGCTATACAGGGATATTTTGTCTCTTTATGATATCCTTTTACAGAATATTTAATTTCGATTTCACGGAAATTTCATCTAATAAGTCGAACAAATAATACTGCATACTAATTATCGTTACAATATTTTATAAACAATACTATCTGTCGGCCGACTCGGACTGCGCGGAATTAAAAAAAAAATTATTTCTAATTTATCTATTGCCGCTTACCTCTTTACTTTTACAATGTATACAACATGTATACGTTGAAGAAGGTACTATGATTACGATTTCAATTATTTTGCCCTACTACAGTCGAAACTGTCAAAGCAAAAAACCTCTTTATAGCGATATACTCGTTTTAGAGAGAAATCTCTTATAAACAAGATGAATTTCGTAATCCCTTAGACTCTCGCTTCGTGTGAATCGGAAAATCTGAAGATAAGTGTACCAATGTGTATCAATAACTATAGCTTGTTTAATATCTAGCGAGTTGGGAACTCAATAGTATTAGATTAATTCATTCCCCATACTGTGAAACGGATTCAATTAATTTGACAACAGGATGTTGAGAGCTTCTGTTTGTGTTAGTATTCTTGGAAAACCTGGTCGATAAGTGAAGCACAGCCGTTCGCAGAACAACTATTATTTGTATAATTTATCTCTATCATAGGCGAATAATTGCACTCTATAACTGGCACTATAAATAAACACAAATGTAATAAGCCTTAAAATATTTGTGATAATTTTAACGCTAATTGTCTATCGATGTTTAACATATTTTGATATAATACCACATAACATCGAATACTTTTAATTTCTGTTCACTCTAAGTAAAAAGCTTTCGAACTAGCCATATTGGTATTGTAACCGGGGTTAACAACACGTGACAGAACTTATTCTCGACTAATATTATAAAAGAAAGATTTGATTGTTTGTTTGCATTGAATATACTCCTAAACTACTGAACCGATTGGAACGGTATTTGAACGCTCTCCCCGGGTGACTTAGGGTATACTTATTACTAGTTTTTTTTAATTCCAAGCGAGCAAAGTCGGAGTTGAAGATTTCGGTTATAAAAAAGTAGAGGTGACAGTATATTAGCTTACAGATGTTTGCCCCGGTATGTTGGTACTTGATGTGCTCTCTAGCCCAAACAAAATGAACTTGAACATTTTGGAGGTCTTGAAGTTCAATTTGTATTTTCAGATATTTCCTTTCATTCGATTATTGTTATCGCTATGAATACATTTGATTGATTAACAAACTCTATTAACATGTGCTAAAACTGATAAACAGCTGAACGAATATCTCTATTAGATAAAGTAAACCGATGCCTAAAATTTATTTTCGAATGTTTCTCTTCTATTTCTCTTTGTTAAATATTCTGTATAGTTTTGAAGAAAGAGTTAAGTCATAGTCATACGATGAAAGTTTACAAAGGACATCGACGTACTTAATATTTTTAAATATTAGTAGTGTGTAGAGCAGTGCTAGTATGCAGTATTGATAGACATTACAAAACCCAAAATCTAAGGTTTACATTTTTACTGTTTAAAAAGAAAACGATAAATATGTTATCAAATTTAAAAATAATCTTAATTACTATATTAATTACGTAAATACTGTCACAAACCTACGTGAGTTGTGTTGTTGTTGTCGTTAAATATTCACGTAGTTTTAACTGTAATCTAAACAATTAATAAAATTGGAATGACTGTATAATTGTGTCTTTTTTTCTGTCTGTTTGTCAGTCTGTCCGTAAATCCATGTTTGTACCGGGTTTTCTCCGAAACAACTGAGCCGATATTAATGGGAATTTCCCTGGTAACTGGCTGATAGATGCTCGAATAACCTAGGGTTCTTTTTTATTTACTCGCTGACGGAGTCTGTGTTTAATAAAATTCTATAAATAATTTATGAACGTCATTGTATTTAATCAAGTGCAATGTAGTTGCAATCTTAAATTATTATAACAAATAAAGACGTCTTGATAAGAGCGGACGGTTCATTGAAATAACAACATCGTAAGTCAAGTTCAAAATAAGTTTAACATCGTTATAAAATATTATTAACACTGCAACTATGATTTAGTAACAATATAATGTATCGAACAGAAGAAAACATATAGGGATACTCCGAACTAAAACTTTACGCGAATAAAAGAGTGTTTTGTTTATTTTTAGAGTTCCGTACCTCATAGGAAAAAAACGGAACCCTTATAGGATAGGCTTTGCTGTCCGTCCGTTTGTCTGTCAAGACCCTTTTTTACTATTGATTAGTTAAATTGTTTAATCATAATGATGAATATATTATTATAAAATTTAGAATTTGCGACAAAAATAAAATATCTGAGCGATTTCTTCATAATATAAAATACAAAAAGAGAAATTAAATTAAGAAAGCGAGAAAAAGAAAAGTAACAATGGTTAAGATTCAATCAGGATTTGTAAATCAAATCATATTTGTAAATCAGTGAATGTATACGAACTTATTATTAATATGGAAAGTCAAAAGACAATTCTTTGATACTAGTTTACAGAATTCTTCACTTGTACGTAACTCAAACATCGATCAGTTGTGTAAAACGTTATAAAATAACATTTATGTAAACTGTACGTGCTTGTATGAAAAAAATTAAATATCGTTTAATTACATTGAACACGTTCGAGCAATGTTTCTCAATACTATAATTTCTCGATAAGTTGACGAACATCAGAATTATATTTATTTCGTAATCCACAACAAAAAGATAAGAAACATATTAAGTGGCGAGATGACCGAAAGATGGCATAGACAAGTACCGGGATCACCAAATATTGGACCGGGGTCTGCATCCAATAAAAAGTGCAACCCAAAAGTAAACTATGTCTTAGATTAGTCTTATAACATGAACACGGGAGTAATCAACGATTCTTGACAGCTTGAAAATATTGAATAAGGTAAGGTATATTATATATTTTTATACTTTTTTGAATAAAAATAATTTGTGATCCTGCGCTAGTAAATTACGATTTAAAATAAAGGTATTATCAATTAATATAAAGAAAGTAAACCAATCCAAATAAGATCCCAAGCTATAACTTTTTTGTATAAAGCAACTGGTACGTTTTTGTTGTTAGTGATAGTGGTCATGACACTTGAGGTTAGAAGTCATTCCTTAATTTTCTTGTAACTCCTACATTTATACTTCACACAATATTTAAATTTGTTTCTACGTATTTAGATTGCTGTAGGCTTTAGTATTGCAAAATAAAACTTCTTGACTCCTTCGGATAACTTACTCAATTCTAATCATTACTTGTTTTTAACGAGCACTCTTTATATGACCTTTTTTTCGTTCTTCCAACTATCGCAGTTTATTTAAATATAGATATTTGTTGTTTTTTTCATAAAAAAGGCAATAAATATCTACACTATCACATTGATATGAAAATTTTACTGTTGGAAAGTATAAAATCGCAATCGTGTCATATTTAGTAATAATATGAAAAATACAAGAAAACCTTTAGTGTAGTAAATTTTACATCATCTTGCAATTCATCGCGAGATCTGGATTTAAGGCAAAGGCAATACGACCACTTGGCACCTATTTTCTATCATTGCAAACATACTAGTAATTAAAAAAAATATGTGTCAAAAATTTCCATGCATATTTATTACCCACTTGATTTATGGCAAGATTTGAACGTGTAGATAATAATATTATCGCATAATAAATTAACGCGCACTGAACTTAATAATTATCTACTATGTATTTTCGCGAAAACATTGTAAAATTTTTAAATAAAAATATCATATAATATAAGAATATTAAAAACAGTAATCTAGTAACAAAAATAATAAGTCGCTTACTGCTTTTGTTTTCATATACATGTTAGTATTATATGTTATCATAACTTTTGTAGAATTAAAAATAAGAAACACTTCAGATTGACCTTTGCAATAATAATAAAGAAATTTATTATGCAAGCATCGCTTTAAATTTTAAATTCGTCATGTTTTTTTCAATGTTATGCATAGATGCAAAATTCACTTTCGCTAAACGCGCATTTTATTACTATTCTTATAAGATTAGTTAACATTGTCTATGGTATTAAATAAACAACTTTCGAACTGTAACAAAAGTTTTGTCAAGCAATACACGTAGTTTAACAAAGAATTTGCCTTTCACTTAACATTCAAAATTGACACGTATAGATCCTTTTTTGTTTCCGTGGAAGAAGCAAAACTTACCTTGGGCTCCTTGGAAATGTGGGTACAGCAACCGAAGAGAAGAACCCAAAACAAATAATTCACAGTGTTATCATAGTTACGGGATAGCGCAACGAAAGTGATTCGCAAGTTAAATGGGTGTTATTGTGTACGTGTACGAATGTGCGCGGGGGCGCGGCGCGTGTTCTCGCGGCGACTGTCCGATTGCTTTTGATAGACTGGACCTGAACTGGAGTGAGTGAGGCTGGCGACTGACGTCTGACGCGGCAGAGTTACTGACGCGCCGCTTAGTGCTTAGTGCTTACAACGATTCATATGAAAATGCATCCCGCATTACTTCTCACACGGTCCCTATCATTGATTACTTACATTATAATTTTAAAAATTAAGGTTTAATATTAACAAATCATAACACTTACATTCTGTAATATAATATAATATAATATAAGAAAATATCAATTACTATTATAGTACAAATCAATATAGGAGACATAGAAATTGCTTTCTTAATTTTTATTTAAGGCATTGTTGTCTATCGACATTATTGATCTTTTATTTCAAGGCCGACCGTAGCAACGTGTACGATAAATATGTATTAATTAGATAAAAATTTTGGTGTGTGTCATTGCTTTTATTCAAATCAGAGAAGATAGCAATCGCTATACACTATAGTGTTCATTATAGTGCATAACATTGGAGGTAGTAGACAACTTGGGATATGAGCCAATTATTTGCTTTTGGTTTACTTTGGGCGCTACACTTGCCGGTGTTGTATACAGATACATAAACATTTGTATTTACTCTTTGGTTTTGTATTGTAAAGCAATAGGGGTGTTCCAACTGTTTAGGTACGCAGTATTTATTACGTTGATGTTTGCGCCTACAGTTTTACAACCGCAAATTCACTTGATTACAAAATAATAACAGATAGATAATATTTTATTGATAGAAAATTGAGATAAGAAAAATATATACTTTATAAAATATTTTTTTCTTTTTTACTAATGCTACCAACCATTTATCGATTCAAAAGAAGACGTCACAATATGTCACATATTCGTGCATGTTCTAATTCAATTGTTGTTGTGTTGCTCGGAGACCTGTTGCTGTTTGGCTGACACCGACGATAAGCAACAAGTGGCGTAAAAGCAATGTCAAGGCCTTCGCCTCTTTCGCTTTATTTCAGTACTTAACCCTTTTACGAAACAAATCTTTATCCGCATTTCGAATCAAAAAATTACTTTTGTTTCAACAACCCTTTATATTGCAAATATAAATTGTTTCTTACATTTTCATCCCTCTCTGTTATCAACTCCTGCGTTGGCGTAGAATGATTTAGTTGAATTCTTTCTGAATTTATAAGTGAACTAAATAAATGTAAATCCATTTTATCACGACTATGACGCAAATGGCTTAGCTGGAACTTGTGATTTAAGTATCTTAAATATAGGAATTTTAAAATTCTAGATTTACAAAAAAGAAGCATTGTACTGTCCGGCAAAGGACGGTCATAAATAATAAAATCTAATCATTATTTATCAACTTTATATCTATTAATTTCATAAAAAAAGCAACTGGCATATACGCATAGAAAAGATAAGATAATTGAAAAATGCGGTAGACTTTTTGTACGAATTCGGATTTATTTATAAGATTTATACAATATTATAAATTATAAAATAAGTACCAAAAAATTTGAAATGTAACACATCACAGGTTTTATTGACAGTTATCATCCAATTGAAAAGTAATGAGTAAGCAAATTTAATTTTGTCTGGATCCAACACTAACTCGTACCAGCGCCTGGTACATTAAGACTTGTGGTACACTGCCGGCACGAGGTCCATCCCTCCATTGGAGGGTCGACGGAGACAGGGATTCTCGAGGACTGGCCTTTTCCTATAAACAAATAATATAACTATATTCTATATTATTGCAGAATACATTGACTTTGGGGAATAACTACATCAAGCAGAGACTGATGATGAGGATAAAATATTGTGTTCAGAAGCTGTAGAATTTATGGTACAGATGTACCAAAATCGCATCAAATGAAAATCAATAATCTTTGCGTACCCATTGATGTTATGGGTATCATTTATTATTTTCACTAGTCTTTGACCTGAGGATAAGAATAATTTGTTACGTTGATACTTATTAAATCTAATAAACAGAAAGTAATTTGGGCTATCACAATCCCATTAGTACAGTATAATTATCATTAGTGTATATGTATTATTACATATACCACAAAATTCTAAAAACTTCTTTAGTTTAGTTCATTTTTATAAAATTAATAATAGTTATTAACGTAAGTAATAACGTATTAATAGTAACGTAAATAGTGCTAAAAATCTCTTGGAGCTTGCGAATAAATATACATAGAAGTATTATATGTTAAGAACTGAATATACGCACCATTTCTTTATTCTTCAAAGTGAAAATAACAGACAAACCAATGAAAACTAAATTGAGTATTAAGATCACTATTGCCGAAATGAAAAACACATTTTGTATAACCAAAGAACAACACATTTTATAACAAAAACGTATAATACAATTTTTGATACTTTTTATTCACAAGCAGACGAATGCGTGCTGCAAGAAAACTGAGAAACTAGAATATGCTTTAAATTATATCACAATATAATTTTATCGTTCCTTAGCTTTGATAACTTGCAGTATATTTATGCATATCTGTATTGTTAATTACGGTACCTTTACCATTCAATCACAATCTTAATTCACGCTTGTTAATATAGTCATGTGTATCGATTGCTTCAAGATCGCCATTCTTAATACGTAATAGCTGTTATAAAAATAACAGATTTATTAATTAAATAAAATAATAGAGTAGGCTTTCACTGTAATAGATTTTATATTAGCGGGTTGCTTTCATTAATTATCCGAAAAAATAAAAATTACCGTGAGTTTTGGAGACCAAAATACCCGTTTAAAACATACTGTTATCTGTCTTTTCTGTCGATATGTTTTATATAGAGATTTTGGTCCCCTAAACCAATGGATAAAGGGACTCTACATCGGTTTAGTGGTTGTGCGTTTGATTATCATTTTAAAGTTATAGACCAGGAATTTGGTTTAGCCACCAGCTACAGAGTTAGTTCAAAGCAAATTTTCTCCGTAATCTTAATAAATTATTATTTTCGGTTTGAAATCTTTAATGATGTAAACCGTCGAGGTAAATAAATAACGAAGTAGTGATCACTTGTTCTAATATTTAGTGACGGGGAAACTGCTTTAATGTGGCATACACAAGTCGCCTTGCAGACAATGAACGAATGTCATTACGGGGCCGCGGCCGCCGGCGCTGTTGAACGCAATCGAATTCACTAACAAGGCAAGAATTAAGAAAGTACAAGACACGGCAAAATTAAAATAAACGAACAATTTTAACGATCGAATAAAGTTAAGGACAACACACTTTTTTGACTTACTAATGTTCATATTGTTGAAAAAAAATTATGAGTAACTTTGCTTACATTCATCACTAACAATAGTTATATTAACATACATTATATCGCTGTGATTCGATAAAAAATGATAAGATGATATCGTGACTAAGTACATATAGTACAGATTTTATACGTAGTATAAAAATGTCAATAAAAATAAACGACGTATGGTGGCACAAACTATGTCACAATTTGGACCGTGGCAGACATGTGGTTGAAGATAATAGTTTTCTAACAGCGTACAGTTCCGAATTAATACCAAACCTGCAGAGTTAATATCATCTATTTGACTTTAATATAACTACGTCATTATCACAATTGTCATCAAAACGATGTTTACGGAGACAACTGCAAGACGTAGACTCCTAAGATTCTTCATTGGTATTGAAAAACAAAGCCACTATCCTCCAGTTGACCTCCGCAAACATAGATTTTGAGAGAGAGAAACTTGTTGGTCTATGTTCTAGCATATTCACTTTCGCTTTATTTTCCAACATCCTCTTGCCTATGAACCTCATCCAAAAATTCTCAAAAAAAATTCTATGAATTTTAATTTAAGACTACATTTACATTTATTATTACATTTTACTAGCAATTGTCAGCGACTTTGTCCGTACGGAATTTAAAAAAAACTATTAAAAAATAGGATAGTTCCCACTAGTGAAAGAATTTTTAAATCGGTTCAGTAATTTCGAAGCCTATTCAATCCAAGCAAATAATCAAATTTTTCCACTTTATAATATTAGTAAAGATGATACTATAATATTTTTATCGTGTTCCGTATTATCTATTAGATAATATTCAAAGTTATTTTAGGTATATGATGCGACGCAAGATTCAAAATCAGTGTAAAAAGTAATCTTTAAGTCTGAAATTTGAGACGTGTCCGTTCTAACACATTGTATTGCTTTCGGTGGCCGAGAAGTCTGTTTCGATAAAAAAAAACAACACAGCCAGTTAGGCTGTTACTGTAAGTCGAACTAGTGTAGTTCTTGCATTCAACTGATAGTGTGGTAAAAGTGTTCGTGAAAAACTTTTAAAATTACAAGACGATTTTAATATAGTCATAATGACGTATGCGTTTATAATAGTGGTGTCAGTGGCCGTAACTTTAAAGCTGTTGTTTCTAAGTTTCTCATTGTACGTAACACTTAATAACCGAGAACCTCAAGCAGAGGTGAGTATTGTTTCACTTTAATACTTTTGTTCAAATGATAAGAACTTTGTTTAAATATCTAATAATATCAGGAGTCATCCAACTTTAGTTTATTGTATCCTCTATTGTGTTGTCATATAAAAGAGAAATTCTAAAGGCGTGCCTTTCTAAAATCCTTTTAGTAATTCGATCCGTCTAGTCTCACGTCTTCTAGTCTTTAGGTGTTTTGTGTTTACATTTATTATTAAACTATTAACTTTGTGTTTCAGAAAGATTCGAAGATCAAAAACGACAACACAACATGCATGGTGTCCAAGTGGAAACAAGTTTCGCAAGTTTTTTTTTGTAAAACGTCACATAAGATGAATAAAAATGTTAAATTGGGAACATGATTGCAACAACTAGTTTTGTAATACATTAATTACAATATGTAACACCAAAAACCAGTTTAAAACATTAATGAATAACTGTTATTCTTTTTAAAATATATAATATTTAATGTGTTTCGTTATAGTATGACAAAGAAATGGTGATATCTATTAAAATGTTATTGGTGCATAGAATTTATATTACTACTTTAATTTTTGCTCGTAAATAGGAACTTCCGTTGCCTGTGGCGTGATAGAACATTGCAGTTAACATGCAATACTCAAGCGCAACAACTTTGTATCAAATCTACGTCTACCGAAATCTCTGTATTTTTCTCATAAAATTGTAAATATTAACCTTAAATCCCTCTATTGACACTTTGCAATATCGCAAAACAATTCATACTTTTAACGGTTTTTTGGGCTCTTTAATTTCTTTCATTAATTTTTTTATTCCATAGATCAGAAACTTACACAGGATTCTTCAAGAAGGGCGAATTTATTTTAAAGGGCGGCAACGCATCTGCAGTACCATTGGTATTGCTCATTTGCCATTATGTAATGTCCGTTTTTCTTGGTTCTCGTCGATAGTATTTCAACGTAGATTTTGTCGTTATTAGTAATTTAATTTTATTTCAATATATTTAAATGATTTTGATTAATTAGCTCTTTTATTATTAAACCCTATGATGGTATTTCCGGTTTAATTAGTTATCGTGTTAGACTACGTACCTACATGATAAAACATCTTTTAATTTGATGTATCGTTCTTTATATCTCATAAAACAATCAATTCTTTGAATAATTTTACAACTTTGTGGACCCTATTAGGTCTGGTTCTAAATAATTTGAATGTTTAATAGGCAAGATATTTTTTGAAAGTAGGAAACATAGAAAAGAGCCATAATATACGTGTACTTTTGGGAAAATATGATTAGAACTGCACTCGTATAATCCATTTTATGAATCGCCATCTGGAACTGCGAAAATCTGGCGAAGTAATTTCTGAACATGTGTGCTACCTTTCATCTAAGTTTATTTCCGTTAAAAGATGGCAGGAAGTGTCTCATATATAATATATGTATCAAAAACATGCATATTTATACCCATAACTCACAAAAATTCAGTGAAACAAGAGTTCTTAATTTCAAAATAAAAAGACATTAAAAACATAACATACAAAATATATTTCATTTAACAATTGTATAAAAACAAAACATAATTGTACTTAGTTTTATTTAAAGAAATATATTTATTTATAATCATAATCATTTATAGTCAAATATGTCATCTCCCTTGTGTATTGCGACCATTTTACAGTTTTCCTTTCTAAATCCAACCTCAAATTTTTCTTTCTATATTCATTCGCTTTTTCTACAATAATACGATTGAATTGGTGGACATGCGGATGATTTAAATATTCATCTATAAACATCCATTTACACTCTTTGACTTCTCTGTGCGATAAAACTATGTCTTCTGTGAGTGCTTTCATCATAAGTAGCATGTATATATCAGAGTTATTGTACATCATATTATGCTGGTGTCGAAATGTGAGCAAGGAGACAAATGTGCAGTCAACTCCCGTCTCCTCTTTTACTTCTCTAACTGCTGCATCTTTTATATCTTCACCTGTAAACAAATGAACAATAAAAAATTGAATTATGTAAACAGAAGAACATCAAATTTCATACATGGCGGCCATATTGAAAGTCAACTGTTTTAGATAACATTGTGACATAAAATGCTGTGATATTTTAATATTAGCTGTGTTAAAATATAAAAAAACGTAATTAGTATAATACTTTCTATGTTCTACATTTATGCCAAATTTCAGTGAGATCCATGCAGCTGTTTTACAAACATCCATCCAAATATTCACATTTATAACAGTTAGGAATTACAGTTTATGCTTAACCTCAAATAAAACTGAGGTAACATAGTGATATAGTTAGCGCAAATATAGTTATGACCATTCCGTTAAGTTTCAAAACAATAATATGTTGCTCAATCTTTATAATAGAAAATACTCACCTTGTTCCACATAGCCACCTGGAAGCTTCCAATGAGGGTATTCATAGTGTTTTTCTGATATGGCCAAAAGCTGATTCCTGCTGTTAAACACCAAAGCACCCACTCCCAAATTGGTGTGACACGCCGGAGGTAGATTAGGTGCAGAGTCTATGGGTAGCCATTTGTACATCATCACAAAGTCATCTCTGGCATGATGGAAATTAAATCCTTTCTATGGACACCAAATCTTGGTTAAAAATAACAAAGATATATAAAATATAAGTATAATTTTTAAACTTTATTAACATAAAAACATTCACTTACCTCTGCTAGTACTGGAACATAGAAGGAATCTTTTATGTTAACTTTAAACCAAATGCATCTCTTTCCCTCTGAAGACCATTTCTGTATAGAAGCTGGAATCATTTTATTAAATAAAGTTGTTTACCATTAAAATACCAAATAAATTGTTGTTTAAGTTTTTTTACCTTCAAGATTTTTTGTTAAGTTTGTTCTTTCACAATTTTCTAATGCAGTATTTACTGTTATTCCATTAAACCTATCTGTTTTACCTACAAAAAGATATCCTGTTTGAAGTTTGCTATGGTTACTAAATTTTCTGAAAATAAAATGAATCATTATTGAGTAAATTATTCTTAAAAATGTAATTAAAAAAATAAAAACATCTCATGATGATCGTTTCTAGATATTACCTAAATGGTATGAGAGATTTTCTTATCACATCTCTATATGTAAAGGACAATTTACATAGTAGTTTATTTACAGGCATGTTGAATAAACTAAAACTACATCACTTTAACTGTACAATAATTATTTCGTATGTGATATCAACATAAAAAAGTAAAGTTATAATAAATAAAAGCGAAACAGAATATATAACATTATAAAGATATTATAAACAGAAGAACAAAACTGTCATTTTGATATTTTTTGACATTTCAATTTTGAAGATTATTCGTTTCGTTTTGGGTTTTGGACACATAGCTTTTCTCTCCATAAACTCTGGGGTCCGATAAATATTCACTGATTTCAATAAAGACAGGTAAAGATGTCAGTATTGCACTTAAAGGGCTTTCAAGACTGGAAATACAAGCCTTAACAATAAAAAAAAAGCTTAGAAGAGTAGCTATGGTTTATAAGACAGAGCTTAGAGTGTGCTGGAATCGCAAAAGTCGAATGAGTAGAATGTTTTTATGGATCATCACTGGACCATGAGTACTGATAAGTATATGTTGTTATATAGACTGTAGACTGACAGTTTCAGACAGCTGACGTTCAACGCCAGCTCCGTGCTGAACAGAATTTGTTGACATATCATTTGACATCTGACAGATCACAGTATCCGTACGTGAACTTGATAAAATTACCAAATCAAAATGATAGTAAAGTTTGTTAAAATGAGATAGATCAATTTCAATGTTATACGTAACATACATGTGCTAAAACGTAATTAAATATGTGCAATTTTTTCAACGTTCGGTAGACTTAACCTTTTAAGATACTTGTAAAAATTTTCCTTAAACTCCTAAATGTTTTATGGAATTACGACATCCAAAATAATTGTGTAACATAAAATAATTATTGCGATAAGTAAAATAACTGCGTACATAACCAATGAACCTTGACTTTTGACAAAACATTACTATTGTAGTATATTTATATTGTTGCTTCAATATTTTAAAAAAGAGCCCGTAAAATTGTTGGCTGACTGCAGAAGATGGCTTCAAAAACTTTTGAAGGTGTTTTAGATAGATACAATGGCATAACTGTTGATTCTCAAAAGGAACAATGTGACATTACTGATTTTCAAAGTAAACTAACAGGTAAGTTGTATAAATATTTTTATAATCGGAAATTTCCTTCCTGGAATATTAAATCTGTCCAGTCAGTATTTATGTTTCAAGGCTACCAGAGTAAAATAATTTTTAATTTCTGTTTAGAATCATTGCAGAAATGGGATAGTGAAGGAAGAAGATGCATATGGTTCAAAATTAATATAAAGGATGCAGCTTGGATTCCAATACTAGCAAATGTGAGAATTTATTTCGATTAAAAAAAATAGTATTATATCATTCATTATTTGTGATCAATAATGACATTCTTTGGATGGGTTTCACACTTCATCTCAAAACTTTTGTAAAATTACTAACAGACAAATATTGTATTGACCACCATGTTCATGTATGTAACTTGATGTATTAAAAAGAAGGCTAATGTTTTAATTTCCAGGAAGGTTTTAATTTTCATCATTCAGGGGAGAGTTTTGTAACATTGTTCAAATGGTTACCAAAAGACAGCACATCAAATTTGCCACCAATATGTCACACAAGTATTGGTGTGGGCGGCTTAGTGTTTAATAATAACAATCAAATATTAGTTGTTATGGAACAACTTTATGACTATCCACATTGGAAGCTGCCTGGTGGATATGTAGAAAAAGGTATATTGAAACATTGTCAAATAACATAAAATGTGTAGTGGATTAATAAAACTGTATTAGAATTATTGTACAGATATACATGAAACATGAAAAAAGTTTTTAACATATTTTAAAAAGTTAATTAAATATCTTGATGGTTTAGTAAAAGAAATATTTATGCCTTATTCTGTATATACTTTCATACAAAAAAAAAATTGGATAGAAAAAAAAATTCCCATGGAATTGTAGTCAAGAACGAGATTATTTAACATAAAAAATAGATGATTGAAACTTGTGATATATTTCAGGGGAAGATATCAAAGATACTGCTGTTAGAGAGGTAAAAGAAGAAACTGGTATTGATGCAGTTTTCGAATCCATGGTAACTTTGAGACACACACATAAAATGATGTTTGGTAACTCTGATATATACATAGTTGTATCACTCAAAGCTACATCTGATGTTATCACAAAGTCTGATGATGAAATCAAAGATTGTAAATGGATGGATATAGAAGAATTTTTAGAACATCCACATGTACATGAATTTAACAGGTTTATTGTAAAACAAGCATTAGATTTAAAGGAAAGAAAATTGAAATTATCTCTTAAAAAGAGTAAAGTAACTATATCAAAATTTTCACGGGAAATTACTTCTTTAATTGTAGATGATTTGTGATTTTTAAATATAACATTTTTCAAACTAAGCATTCAAAGAGCATTTAAATAAATAAAATTGTGGGAAAGATAGAGCTGGGGATAAGGATGAAGTTGATTAGGTGAAAAATTGCTTCAATTTATTAATGTTATTTTAACTAATTTAATAAAAAAAATTAAAGATTATTGGTATTTTATTTCCCAAACAGATTAACAAAACATCTGAACTCCAAATGCCAACCATGTTGTCTATTATTAAACACTTTTCATATGCATAAGCCAGTGGGATTTATAAACCGAAAAAGGCAGAAAGGCCCCTTAAATTAAAGTGACTAATGAGACAAATTGCTTACACAATCGTACTAACATTATAAATGCGTATGTTTAGAAGTATGAATGTTGGTTAGAAGGTATCTTTGAAATTGCTTAACTCACTGAAATTTAGCATAGATGTAGAACACAGGCTTCTTAATAGGTTTTTATTTTAATTACGCGCGGACGGAGTCGCGGGCAACAGCTAGTAACCAAAAAGTATGAAAAGTACATAACTCAAAATATTTTTGAATCATTCGGATAGTACTTGGATAATAGCTTCTAGGAATAAAAAAAGTTAGATAATTTAAGTTACATTTGATATTTTTATTATTTTCACAAAAATTGTTACATTTATACACAAATTTAGCATAGATGTATATAAAAATGTTGATAGACAGATAGGTGACATTTAGAACTACATAAACAAAATTATAATTTAATAATTCATCCAAATATATTTAATATCTTCAAAGCTAATAAACCCTAAAAACCATTTAATTCCATTAAAAATAATACATTATTAACAAGCAATTGACTGTGTTGAAGACATATAGTCATTTCAATTCTCTTATATAAATTAGACAAATGTTTAACCAAATTACTTCTATTCTTAACAAAAATGTACATCATAATGTAATTATTCCATGAATTATTTTTATGTACAAAACTAGAATAGCGTTAATTGTGAACACATGATATATATATAGATAATATATAAATAATAATACACATTTAAGTTATTTATTTAACACATTCAGTGGCACTTGTTGAGTTCACTTTAGTATGAAAAAATCAAAGTGGCATTGAATGTGTTAACAGAAATTTGTACTACTGTTATATTACCACCAATATCTTACAAAAAATGGATGTGCCTTCCATCCAATGAACATTGTTACGAAACAAGTATTGATTTCATTGCGACAAATTTCACACATTCAAAATGTTACTCTGACAATCCTAACTAGAAAATATTTCAAGATGTTTATGAACTTTTGAAATGAAAAAATGAGAAAAGTATTACAATATGACAACATATAATTCAGGCCTGAAAATATCTTTCATAAAGGATCACAAAAGAAAGCAAGCCTCTCGGCAACCATAGTTGACTTTAGCAAATGTTGCCACTATGCATTTCATTTATTTAACAACATGACTAATATACGTTAAAAAATATGTTAGTCGAATTTTCGTCGATGTATATTTATAATAAAAAAGTGTTTCAGTAATACACTATTTTTACAGTTTACTTGCAGTTTAATTTAATGGACAACACCGAAAGCTAAAATCTTGACTTAATTTTAATCCAATTCTGGAGCTGTCGGCTTAGAAGATTGATTCTCACCTTCATCATCAGAACTGTCAAGATCTCCAATAATTGACTTTAGTAGTCCACCAAACATTGAGTTTTGATTATTATTGTTCTTTCGATTGTCTATACCAAACCAGACTCGTCCTATGTTCTCCAAATAATCAGAATAATTGGAATCTCTTTTTAAACTTATGTCATAGCATTTTCTTAAGATTTGAAATTGAACTGTGTTTTTCCTGCAAAAAAAAAATTGTATTTAAATGACATTAAACACATTACTTACATAGAATAGAAATTAATGCATAGTTTATTCTAATTCAAGCATTTTTATGAAATTATTAGATTTTTGTTGTAGTCATTTGAAGATTTTCACTGTAGCAAAATAATTTGAAGTAAAAATTGAACTGTTTACACCAACTTTATAATAAGAGATATTAAAAAGGATTATAATATTGTTGAATACTTACTGTTCAATTGACTGTAGTAAAAACCACAAAAAGTTTAGTAAAGGAAATGAGTATGGCGGACCTACATCATTTCTTATACTAGGATGTAAACTGGTATATTTTTTGAAGGTTTCTCTTGCCATTTGGATGTTTTTTAAGCAAAGAAATTGCAACACTGTTTGTGCTATAAACAGATCAATTTCTGACTTAAGTCCTCTTGTTGATTGTAATTCTATCAACATATTAGCATATACCGTTCCATTACTTGAATGTAAGAAATGTTTATGCGCTGAAGGATATCTTTTCTCTTTCCAGTACACTTCTGCAATTTTCTGTAATCAGAAATTGTACTTTGAAAAAACTTTACTCCATGACCGTAGCAGGTAACACCTTAATGGTTCTATAAATTATCTCAGTAAACATAACAATAATTAAATGACAGTGTAAAACAATTATTTAATACAATTAAGACACTTATAATATTTGTTTATATTTGAACATGTTGTTAATTAGTAGTGAATTAAAATTACCTGGTGCAGTAGAGGATGTCCTTTCTTGCTACTATCCATAGACCATTTAACAGCATTTGTTAAGTATGTATCTCTTTCTGGGATAGCCGAATGCATTAATTCAAATAATTTTGCTATCTTTTCAATCCACTCTTCACTAGGCTTTGTTTCAGATTTATTTAGAACATCTATTAGTAGAATAGCTAAATCCGCGCCACTGCCCTGTTGATCGCGCTGCAGAAGTAAAAGTGATCCTTCGTACAGCAATTTAAACAGATGTTCATATTTCTTCTGAGTTAAATACCTGAAATATAATAAAAATATTGATCATATTCAAGATACTGACATTCGTATGATGTAGGTTAAGTTTTTAAAGTTTACCTGAAGTACAAAGTTCTGTACATCTGATGTGCTTCATAATATTGACCTGCATTTACTGATGCTTGTAACTTTTCTAGAACTCTGCTAACACCTCTTTCACCTCGTGTGGCCATTGTTATATTTTTCGACTATTTTGGCTTACTGCAGCCGCATTACATATGTAATTTATGACTTATGCCTACACTACAGTCTGTCCCACTTGTAAAGTCATTTCAATTGTATCATTCAGGGTAATATAATCTTTTCAAATTCTTACTAATTTAACAATGACTTACGAAATGTCAAAAATTTCGTAAATATGAAAGTACATAAGAGAAAAGGCCAGAGAACAGATGACGTTCAGCCAAAAGTCAGTGAAAGTTAGGTCACATACTTTTCGTTCTTAAACAAAAAAAAACTAAAATTAGCATTACATTGGCGAACTATATGTTAGTATGATTTTCATTAGAATAGTAACTTTTTTACATTTTCAATACACAATCTCACAATCTTACTAAAGCTATTTTTATTAAGTCAGTGATGGCGCCAGTGTCGCTACTAAAACAAGCAGTTATAGTTGGCGAGTTGTAAATTGTAATTTTATTGTGATACTGGGTAATTCTTTGTAATTTTCCCAATCTAGGTATATCGTCTATACGATAAAGTTTAGCAAATCGATTACCTATATAAGCGATTTGCTATCTGGTAATTATGAAACTCTTGAAACAAAAAAAAAACAATCAAATCACATACGAAATTCATTACTACAATTTACACTCTTTTTTTATTTCTATGATTCTGAAATTAGAAAGTGTAGTATTCTGTTATTCTCTAATTTCCAAAGTTATGATGGATAAGAGGATAAAAAATATATGTGACTCGAATGTTCATTGGGATGGAAGTAGAGCAAGCTTGGCTATAGCACAACGAGCATTTCTTGCTGACTTCACAACAAACTGAAAATCATTTAGAAAATGCACTTACAACAAATGATTTGTTATTATTTCTAAACTTTGTACGATTTTCTATCTAATATCAATCTGAATAAGCTTGAATACCATTGTGTTTCCTTTGGTAAGCTTAAAATACGCCTTAATAACTGTACATCTCTATTCTTTTAATTAAATAATATTTCCTTTTGTTGTAGGAAATATCCGTCAGTTTCGTGTTGTTACGACTACGTTAAAGTAAAGGGTTATTGTTTTAGTCCGTAGCTTTATCCTACAGCGTTGCATTGATGGTTTCGAGTCGTCGAATCTTTTCATAGAACTACAATAACTTTATTTTTTGATTTATATGCAGTGTATTCGTAACACAATAGATACCATTGTATTCACACTTTCATATCTTTAAGTATTTACATATAAAGATTATTATTATTTTAAATTTGATCGAAAAACATTAAGTATAATTATATTTAAAGTTTTTATAAGAAAGGTTCATTATTATATAGTTTTCAACATTATTTCATTTATTTTCATCACACTAATATTATATCTGCGAATGTTTAGATGGATGGATAGATAGATGTTTATATGAAGATATCTTCAGAACGACTTCACGAATCTCGATGATATTTGACATACTTACAGAACATAGTCTGGAAGAACACATAGGTTACTTATTAAGATTTTTTTTTAATTCCGCGCGGACAGAGTCGCTGGCGACAGCTAGTTAATAACAAAGAAAACATTATACTTAGGTACATAGTATGTCGTACGTATAATCAATTTATTAGACAACAACTCCGTTGAAGCTTGTGCCATTCAGTAGAAGTTATTTTAGTTGTATCTACTTTATGTGTTGGAACTGATTAAATTTAATTTAGTTAAATAGTCGTGGTTTGAAAACATATTGAAATTATGGATAGCATACGAATATTCTTTTTACTTGACATTATTTGTTTTGCACCGGTAGGTATTAACCTGGTTTCAACTCATTTTGTACCTATTAGTTGAAAATCTAATATAATTAAAAGGAAAATTCGTTTAAACGTTCTTTTGTTTTGTCTCTGTACTTTCAAGTAATTTGTCCAAACTAATCAAAATCCCTTTCGGTATATGACGCAATAATTTTAGCAGCTACAGCAGAATTGTGAACAAAACAAAAACAACAGACAACGTAATTGGTTGCTAACAACGCTTGGACAAAATCCAAGCAATGCATTACTCGCAGAGCTCGGACAAAACTTTACCGCTGTCCAAAATGCACGCAATCTGTGCAGTTATTTACTCTGTTACTTTATCTGTCATTTGATTGTGTTAATTTGACAGTTTACGAGTCTTCAAAATTACAAAATATTTAATTTTAGATTTAAACTAGCTGTCATCCGACCGCGCGGAATTTTGAAAAAGACCTAATTAGTAGCTCATTTCACAGATTATGTTCTACATCTATGAAAATTTCAGTGAGATTCATGCAGCCGTTCTAGATATTTTCTAACAAATATTTATCCATCCACCCATACACTCAAACATTCGCATTAGATATTTGTAATAGTAAGAAGATTGTAATTGCCAAGATAATATTTTACTTATTCGCTTTGTAAAAAAAGATTGACAACAATGTATTTTTAATTAGGTGTTTAGTTAAAAAATAATAACGGATCTTTTGTAATGAAAAGAAAATAATTATTAAATGATCTTTTAAAAAACGTCATTTGTTTGGTAAAAATATTGTTTTAACACTCAATAAAGTTAAATTTATATTCAAATGTTATATGCAGAACTTGAGTTCAGTTTTTGCTGGTTTGAAATTTATTTGAAAAGTTTAGTAGAATCGTTTATTACTGACAAGAATCTTCTTGGCGTAAAGGGTCGCAGTTGGATTTACATTTAGCAAAGTGTAATATCTTACGAAACGTTCCGTCAACATAAATCTTTATATGTTTATTTAAGATACTTGCAATGATAATCATAAATATTTTCAAGCATATAACGTTATCTTTATTTGTCTACGTATCATTTTCGAGTAAGTAATACCCAATAGATATATTTTAAATAATTCGATGACTGCGTAAGAAATTTAATACTATCATGTGGGACGTATGGATCGAGTAACTTTTTAATGGTAATTTATGGCCTTTTACGTATATACGTATATTATCGTTACATATTTACTTTCTGTCACGAATACTCTAAACATTGTTTTCTTTGCATGTTGCTGATAACATGTTTTTAGTTGTTTTTATGTCTTTACGCATTTAATTAAAGACAAGTAACAGAGGCTACTAAATAAGAGTTAAGATTCTGAAGATGTTGCATGCGAAGCTGTGAAACTAATTTAACTTAAACTTAACTTCCACAGGCTTCCTCGTAATAGAGCTGCGACTTACAAATCGGAAGTCCCTTACTAACTTATAACTTGTAATATTAAAGTTTAATCTTTTTCCATATAATATCGGATATATATATTTTTATTTAAATAATAAAACTATAACACAACAGTGATAGAGCCCGCTTTAACATCTTCGGTGGATTGGAACAGTGTTACAATACAGTACCACTTCAATCGAAATAATTGTACAAAAATTACTCATTTTAAAATAGATTATTCTTTCTTTTTCTTTTTTTTAGCCGACTTCAAAAAGAAGGAGGTTATTATCTGTATGTTTTATGTGTGTTACCACGTAATTAACCTGCATGTGCATGCCCAATTTACCAAACAGTTTAAACGTAATTGAGGATAATGAGTTGTTGTTCATTCAATGGTTGGTCACGATCTATACCTTTATTTAAAAATATTTGTTGCGCTGTGGTCCGCGCGTGGCGTCCAAAATGATGATAGTAATGATTTCATATTGGTCTTAATTTTATCAACATATTTGTGATACTCCGATATATTGACATATAATATATGGAATTACTATTGCTATTTTAATTTATCCATAATCTATTTTAGTTTTAAAAATCGTACATAAATTAAAAGGTCATAAATTGTTTTTGGGTTTAAAAACAAATTAAGTATAAAATGTTCAAGCATTACTTAAAATAATCTTTATGAAGTTACACAGCCGTAATTCTCATCCAGAAATTCTACAAATAAATGGAAATTCTATAAGTAAGTAGTTTTCAGACACTACTTCTCAACAGAAAACATTTTTTACACTCGTTACATTTTACATTACGACGAAAAAAAAATCACATTAATTTTACCCATGTAAAATCTAGACAAAAATGTTTCGTTTTTTTTTTTAATCCAGACTGTTTGCGGCAAGGCGATGGCAACATGAAACGCGGTTCAGTTTCATGACATAGTTAAATACTTTGTGATGTGAACACATTGTTGGAACGCAGGCTCTTTGTAACTGTTTGGTAGAAATATGTTCTAGATCTAGCTAGATTTATATCTATTGTGACCAAAATATGAGTTCCCGGTAAGCATACGGAATTCGTATTAATCGCTGATTTATCTAATATTAACAATAATAGGAATCCATACAGGAATATGGGAGGATATCGATTAACCATGCAAACGGAACAAATGTCTTTTTTCTCATCTGTCTGTAAGCGATTCTAAAATTCTTGGAAGGATTTTGGATTGATGTTTTACCAAAAAAAAAAAGATTTTTATTAAGTTTTCTTAAATTTTATTCGAAATAAAATGCTGTTTGCAGTAGAAAGACGACGTTAGTCTCCTCACGAGAAGCTGATAAAAGTCGCTAGTTCGCAATGAAATAGCCACTTAAATGTTTGAGATTATCCACGAAGGGATTGCTAATGGATGTTCGCAGCTTTCAAGTCAAGAGCTTTTGTTGGGAAGTTTCGGCCGGATCCATTGGTTCGGCCAAACTTGTTAGAACTTAACCTACAACTTTCATCTTAATACCAAAAGATAATCGATATTTGCTTTTAGACCGACTAATTGACAACCAACATTATTAGGAATAAGGAGTCATATGAAGAATAATCCATAAGTTGTAGGATTTATTGTAAGTTACTATAAAACGATGATATGTTGTCCCTATTAAATAAAAATATATTGGGAGAATATGGGGAACTAACAATGGTTGGTCTAATATTCAGTATATTCTCCTAGTAGATAAGTAATGAGTTATCTACTTAAAATGATTTATTTGAATGATAGGTTTATTTACAAGATTTTTAATACACAGACAACTAAGCCGCCACCAAACTAATTAGCTACTCGTCAAACGTAGTCCTACTAAAGTTGCAGAGTTTCTATATACACACAAAAGTTAAAAATAAAAGGTTTTTATTTAAAACTAGCACGCGACTCCGTCCGCGCGGTGTTAAAAAAGAATTTTATTAGTATCCTATGTGTTCTTCCAAACTATGCCAAATTTCAGCGAGATACATGCAGCCGTTCCGGAGATACCTCAAATAAACATCCAT